GTCCACTCCTTCGATTTGAGTCCTAGTTTCCTTTCCATTACTATTGGTTTCCGGTGCATTTCCCTTCATTTCAATTAGTTTAGCCTTCATATGTTCCTCTAATTTGTGACTATAATCAACTAGTTCTGTGAGGATCCTGATCACCAGTGTTTTGAACAGTGCATCTGAAAGTTTGGCTATTTCTTCATTGCTTAGATTTATTGGCTCTAGGGTTCTAAGTTGTTCTTGAGCCATGTTTTGATCTGTTCATGCCTGTTACGTACAAGGAGGTGTTCACCAGGGCGGGGCCACCCAGGTCTCTGGTTTGTGATGCTGTATGTGGGGGCGGGGTCAGAGAGGGACAATGGCGGTCCCCTCTGCCACTTTCCTCCACTGGGGCCTGCACGGTCTGTCTCACCTCTTTGCTCTTTCACCGGTTTATCTGCGCTCGAATGTGTGACTGTGGTCAGCCCTCAGTGAGTCCACCGCCTTGCGCCCTCAGTGGGTCCACCCGCTACTCCACACCTGGGCTCTGCTCAGAACTGCCAGTGCACCTGGGTTGCGCACCTGGGTTCGCGCCCAGGTTGGTCTGGTGGATTTTTCCTGCCTGACTCTGCTGTGCTGCTGGCTCTGCCCCTCTTACTGGTTTGGCTGAAGGATTTGTTGTTGTCAGACTTCCGTGTAGTTCAATTTTCTGTGGTTTGACTGTGTTTTTGTTGCTACAACTTTGTTGTTTTTAAACTTGGTTGTGTGAGAAGGCGCAGTGCTTCCATCTACACCTCCATCTTGGCAGAAGTCTTGTATATGCATTTCTAATGTATATCTACTTAGCAATGAAATTGCTGCGTTGGAATGTGTGCATATATTTAACTTTTATAGATACTGCCAGCCTGTTTTCCAAAATGATTGTAATGATTTTTATTTCCTCCAGCAATATGTGAGATTTCCAGTTGCTCCACATTCTTAACTGCACTTAGTATTGCTTTTTTCATTTTAGCCATTCTGTAGGTTCGTAGTGCTATTGTATGGTGGATTTCTTTTGCATTTCACTGATAATCAATGAGATTGAACAGCATTGCATATTCTATGGTAAATTCAGTGATAAATTTGGAGATGCTTTTATGTGAAGTGCTTGATTAAGTCTTTTTCCATTTCTCTGCTGGAGTTTCTGTCTTTTCCTTCTTGATTTGAATATTTTGTTTTGTTTTAGAAACTCTGGTTATATGTTATCCTACTGTGGCTTGCCTTGTTTCTGTATGTTTTTTTGAAGAAGTTAAAAAAACTTAAATCTGGACCACCATAATTTAGAGCACTGCTAATAACAATATCAAATGAAATAAAAAGATTAATATGCACAAGGCAGAAAGATGTATGAATTTTGCCAGGAGGAAGACATGGTTGGGAGTCAGAGTGGAATTAAATGGCATGAAGTTGGAAGTGATTTTTAAAAAAGCAAGAAAAAGTCAAAGATCGATTACACATTTGCTTATTGAGTACCTCATGGGTGCTGTGCATTGTGCTACATGTCCAGGGCACATGCCGTTGGGCAGCAAGCTCTTTGGAAGTCTGCCAGGTGTGATCTGAAACTGGCCTCCATACATGGAGGGCAGGGAGAGTCCAAAGAAAAAGGCAGACCACTCAAGATTTGTCAGTGGTAGGTTTCATAAGCAAGGAAACTTACATATGAGGGTTGTCTCGCGTGGCTGCAAGACAAATAGTTTTCTGTACCCTACCAAATCATAAAAGTTTATTGAGGTCCTAACTGGGTTTAGTCATGTACACAGTCCATATAGTCTCTTGACCACATTTCTGTCTCAAGGCTGTGTCTTCGGAGCAGCTTCCAGGAGCAGGGACAGCAAGTGGGAACATACATTCCATGCTCAGGGGCAGGTGGGGGAGTCTCCAATAGCTCAGGTACAGCTCATGGGTCCAAGCAGTGGTCACATCTTCTCTATGACCTTCCCTAACACGTTGCACAAACCCTGCCTGCTTCAGCCCTTTAAGCACCTGGTGTCTACTCAGGAATTAGTAGTGCGGCTTAGAAAGCCATCGAAGATAGAAGAGAAATGGGTCAGTAGTTGCAGAGGTGACTGGGCAGTAGAGAGTGAATGTATGAAGAGAAACCTGGAAGAAAAGGCCTGATCAGAAGGGAAAACAAGGAACCACTGTTGGGCAAAATAAAAAGGAAATCAAAATATGCTAAGATCAAAACTATAGTGGAAAGAGAAGAGCAAAATCAGAAAATCTGATTTCAGTAGGAAGGGAGGTAATAAAATTCACAGTTTGTGAAGTGATATACTAGAAAGAGAAAAGTGCAAGGAGTAGGAATGCATATGAGAGTAAGACTGAGCTTTCAGGACTTTTAGGAGGGTGGGTGGGAAGTTGGGGTGACTATGTAGGAAGACACTGTATATGAACATTTCGTTTATTATAGGGATGGCTGATGAAGATATGAATGCCTAGACTTATTGGTTTGTTTGTTTGTTTATTTATTTATTTATTTATTTATTTATTTATTTTGTTTTCTATATCTTTTAAAAATATATTTTATTAACTATGCTATTACAGTTGTCCCAATTTTTCCCCTTTGTCCACCCGCCCCACCTAGTACCCCCACTCCCTCCAGCAGTCCCCTCACTTAGTTCATGTCCATGGGTTCTGCATATAAGTTGTTTGGCTTCACATTTCCTATACTATTCTTCACCTCTCCTTGTCTATTTTGTACCTACCATTTATGCTTATTCCCTGCACCTTTTCCCCCGGTTTCTCCTTCCCCCTCCCTGCTGATAACCCTCCATGTGATCTCCATTTCTATGATTTTGTTCCTGTTTTGGTTGTTTGCTTAGTTTGTTTTTTAGATTCAATTGTTGATAGTTGTGAATTTGTTGCCTTTTTAAGGTTCATTGTTTTCATCTTTTTTTTTCTTAAATAAGTCCCTTTAACATGTCACGTAATACTGGGTTGGTGATGATGAACTTCTTTAGCTTTACTTTGTCTGGGAAGCACTTTATCTGTCCTTCCATTCTAGCTTTGCTGGACAGAGTAATCCAGGTTGTTGGACCTTTCTTTTCATCACTTTGAATAAATACTTCTTGCCAGTCCCTTCATGCCTGAAAAGTTTCTGTTGAAAAATCAGCTAACAGTCTTATGGGAACTCCTTTGTAGGTAATGCTCTGCTTTTCTTTTGCTGCTTTTAAGATTCTCTCCTAATCTTTAACCTTTGGCATTTTCATTATGATGTGTCTTGGTGTGGTCCTCTTTGTGTCCAACTTTTGGGATTCTGTGCTTTCTGGACTTGAATGTCTATTTCCCTCACCAACTGGGGAAGTTTTATTTCATTATTTTTTCAAACAAGTTTTCAATTTCTTGCTTTTCCTCTACTTTTTTTGGCATCCCTATGATTCAAACGTTGGTACATTTGGAGATATCCAAGAGTCTCCTTACACTATCCTCATTTTTTTTTGAACCGCATTTTCTTCTTGCTGTTCTAGTTGAATGCTTTGTTTTCCTTGTGTTCTAAATCATTGATTTGAATCCCAGCTTCCTCCCCTCCACTGTTTGTTCCTTATAGATTTTTCTTTATTTCACTTCGTGTAAACTTCAGTTCTTCCTTTGGGTCTTTTTTATGCGGCGGCTGCACTCAGTGAGTCCTTCGAACATCCTGATCACCAGTGTTTTGAACTCTGCATCTGATAGGATGGTTATCTCTGTTTCACGTAGTCCTTTTTCTGGAGTTTTGTTCTGTTCTTTCATTTGGGCCATATTTCTTTGTCTCCTTGTTTTGGCCACCTCCCTGTATTTGTTTCTGTGTATTAGGTAGAACTGCTTTGACTCCCTATCTTAGTAGTGTGGCCTGTTGTAGAAAAGGCACCTATAAATTGTGTGGGGTGGAGCCTTAGGTAGTTGCTAGTGTGGGGCAACCTGCTTCACTGTCCTATGTGGGGTGATGGCTCTGAGAGGGGACAGTGCTGCTGCCTGGCTTCTGAAGGTTTGCCTGGCACTTGCCCTCTTCCTAGTCACTTCATTTACTGGTAGCAACTGGTGCCCTTCCAGCTGTTGCCCTGGTGCTGAATCCCAGAGGGGTCTGCATTCATTGCAAGGACGTGTGGGTCCTTCAAGCAGAGTGTCCTGAAAATCTGACAGTTTCTTTTGATGCCCCAACCCCCACTGGTTTTGATAGCCAGAAGTTACAGGGATTTCTCTCCCTGGCACTGGAACCCTGGGCTGTGTTGTCTGGCTTGGGGATACAATTTTGCTCACTCCCAAGGTATCCCTCCTGATTTTTATCCACCACAAGTGAATGTGGGACTGTGCATCCTGCCGCCACACCTATCTGCGCCATATTGTGGCTTCTGGGTCCCTCCTCCCATCTTTGTGTCTCTGCCTCTCCTGCACATCTGGATGAATGTGGCTTCTTTAAATCCTTGGCTGTCGGATTTCCATACGGCTTGATTTTCTGCTGTTTTTTTGTTTCGAGGGTTAGTAGTACTTCTTTCTCTGGTTGTGTGAGGAAGTGAAGCTTCTTTACCTACACCTCTATCTTGTAGATTTCTTTTTAAATAGGAACATATTCTGCAGAATTTTAAAACATATTTTCACATTAGGCACTATATCTTTTTTCCTTTCCTCATGTAATGCGTTTCGTGGAATAAACAGTAAATAATTACCAAGTGAGGTCAAGTTATATTAAACATAGGGCTCCAAGAAGTGAATTAAGCATATTGGGCTCAGTTTGCTATTATTTTTGATCACATGTTTCTCAGTGTAAAAATTTATTAAGTTCACATAATAGGACAACTTGGTAGCAATATCTCCAGTAGATTTTTATTGAAGGAATAAATTCATTTTCAAAAATTACTTTTTCTTTAGACCGTGAAGCTTGTAAGTACATAGTTTTCAAAGCTCTGTGACTAAGGCAATCCTCTGAATGGAAAAATTGTATTTGTTGTCTTAAATATTTTGGATTCAATAACCTTAAACAAATCAGTTGATGACAAAGTGCCTTCTCTTTTTCCTCCCAGTGGAATGAAACAGTGGAGCTTTTCCGTGCCGGGATGCCCTTACGGAAGCATCGCTGTCGGTTCAAAAGCTACGAACACTGCTTCACAGCGGCCGAAGCGGCTGATTGGCTGCACGAGCTGCTGAGGTGCAATCAGAACTTTGGCCCTGAAGTGACCCGTAAACAAACGGTGCAGCTGCTAAAAAAATTCCTGAAGAATCATGTTATTGAAGACATCAAGGGGAAATGGGGTCAGGAAAATTTTGAAGACAATGGTCACCTGTACAGGTAATGCCAACTTGTAAAGTCTGAAGGGGAGGAGTATGGAGAGGCTGGGTGCATCTGGTCGGCATCTGCTAAAACTTCTTATGTGAAAAAAAATTCACCTTGTCCCTTGGAGGGATGCTTCTCCTGTGAATCTCTTGTTATGATGAAACCAATTGAAATATTTCTTGACTCCATAGAGCACCCATAGCAGTCTTCTGTTGCACTGGCTTTTCAGTAAGGGAATCTTTTCATGCATTTTGCATGCCTGAGAGGATGGCCGTATAGCCTAGTACTTGTTTTAGGGAATCTGAAAAGGGTTAAACAGTAAGTCTGGGTTGGTCTTTGAGAGCAATGAGAAGGTGTATATTCAAGGGCACTAGTGGCAGAGTGGGTCTGATCTTTAGGCAGAACTCAGGGTTCATGTGAAAAATTGTACTAGAATTTCCTGATGTCTCAGATGAACTCTGGCAGTGCATGCATGCTTTTCCTCAAACATTGTTACTCATATTTCAGTGCTTTTTTTTATGTTTGGACACCACCAGATAATTGGAGGGAAATGGATGACTCTCTGCTCATACTTCCATGCCCACTGCTTGCTGGGCTGTTATTGCTGGAGGTGGAAGGAACCTGCCTAAGATTCAGGGAATGGGAGAGTACTAAAGAGGAATGAGGTCTCGTGAGTCCAGAAAAGAGGAATTGTTGCATTATCTACAGAGAGGCCCATGAAGGTGCTAAGAAACTGAGAGGGATTTTTTTTTTTAATGGAGAATATGGACTCGGTACTTGCTTCCTTTTACTCCAGAAAAATAAGGAATTGACTCTTCGTTTGTATTCAGATCTAGTCTGCCTCTAGCTCCTAATCTCCTTCCTTGTAATTTAATGAAGGCATTTTGGGAGTGACTGGGAAACCTGGGTTTGAGTAGAGAAAACCTAACTCTTTCCAACCTGAACATTTCTTTGGCTTCTTTGAGACTAGCTGCTGAGAACAGTTGCAGCGAAGGCAAGAGTGCCAAGGCCAAATCAGACGTTGCTGTATGTTTAAGAATCTAATTTCCTCATAGCGTCTCATCAGCAGTCTTCAGCTTCTAGATATCAGTTCATTTTTGTCCACTTGGCCGTTATTTCTGGCTTGCTGATCCAACTTTTAATTAGGTGTGATTTTAGCCTATTCATAGTGCTCATTAGCCTCAGGCAGCAGAAACACTAGCCCTGGCTCCACGTGCTGTACTTCACTGGGGATTCTTCAGGGGTTATTTCTCTCGGAACACCAGTTGCTTGTACCTCATCGATTTAGCCAGCACACTGCTGAAAGATTCTCTGGATGAGCAGTTCAATCTGTTCTATTGGGGACCTTAAATTGGGGCCTTAAATTGAGTCCCATGAAGCTTTAAGGGCCATCAGATCTGGAAATAGGGTCATGCTGTAGGGTCCTGCCCTATTTGTACCTCTAGTGAAAGAAATCTGAACTTACATTGGTTTAGATATGTGGCCCTTTAGTAGTTTTCAGTGGGGAACTGTTTCAGGAACCTCACCTTCAAGTTGATGGACTGCTAGTTCCCTCTAGTGGACATTGTTTTAATAGTCGAGCTGAGCATGTGTGCCTGTGGTTTTGTTTTTCTTTTGTTTTTGTTTCGAGTCTTAGATTCTTGGCCTGTAATAGTTGGATAAGTTCGCTGGCCTTCCAGGGCATCATATTTTCATCTATAAAATGACAGGGGTTGCCCAGGCCTGGTGGTTCAGTTGGTTGGAGCGACGTTCCACACACCAAAAGGTTGCGGGTTCGATTCCAGTCATGGCACATAACTGGGTTGCAGGTTTGATCCCTGGTTGGGGCGTACACGGGAGACAACCAGTAGATGTTTCTTCTCCCTTCCTCTTTCTCAAATCAATAAACATATCCTCAGGTGAGGATTGAAAAAAAAGACAATTTAAAAGAATCACGGGTGACCTAGATCTTTAAAGACTTTCTAAATTCCAAACTTTTATGGTTCCACATATCAGGCACATAATCACATATTTCTCACTCCAAAGCAGTGGAGAAGATAAAAAAGAAATGTAACATGATTTTTTTCCTCCTTAACTTTGCCATCTCTTTTGGGAGAGTACATATGTGTGAAAAAGAGAAGTAGCAGAACCAAGGCAGTATTTCACTAATTAACCCCAAATGAACCTGTAACGAACAATAAATTTGCTGTTGTGTTTTACCTGTATAGTGTTTTGGTCATTAAAATTTTGTCTCTCTGATTTTAATGTTTCATTTTGCGTATTTTGTGAAGGTAATACTTTCCATGTGATTCACAACTTACAAAGTACAAAAAAGTATCTGCAATAAAAAGTCTCACCTGGCTTATGTGGCTCTGTTGGTTGGAATGTCATCCCGCAGACTGGAGGGTGGTGGGTTTGATTCCTAGAGAGGGTTCAGTCCCTGGTCACTGCGTGTTTGAGAAGGCATCCGATTGATCTTTCTTGCATTGATGTTTCTCTCCCTCTCTCCTTCCCTTCTCCTCTCTCTAAAACCAATAAGCAGGTCCTCAGAAGAGGATAAAAAAAGAAAAAAAGAAGTCTCCCTTCCACCTTTCTTTTCCAGCCACCCCGTTCCCTTCTACAGAGGCACCTAATGCTATTTGTTTCTAACAGTGTCTTAAAAAATTATGAACCTGAAAGTCTTTCAATGGGGTAAGCTCATTCCAGTTGCCACACTTCCACCGTTTCCCTACACAATACCAGACTATACCATGACTATGTTGTCTGTCTGGCCAGTGCAGGAATTGTGTCAGACCTGCCTGGTGAAGAGGGGAGTGTTTTAAGACCTCATGGAGAGGGAGAGGGAGGACTTCAACCTGAGTCCAGAGGATGGGGTGGGGTCTGAATAATAAGGGATGGGAAGGGAGATATTTTAGGTGACAAGACTGGTAAGACCAAGGCCCTGGGAGGTGCTGTCAGCTTCTCCGGGAGAGGGAGGAGGAGACCGGCCTGGCTACAGAGGAGGTTTTAGGTCAGGATGTCATAGAGATACATTTGATAGAGTTTCTGAAATACATGGGTATGAACTGGACTTTCATTTTACAAAAGCAAGACAGTCAAGGTGTTTTGAGTAGGAATGACATCTGTGTTCTAGAATAGAGTTAATTAAATAGTAGTAATGGGATAGACATTTGACTTCTTTTTTTAAATTGCTAAGCACTCTAAACTTTCCTATTTTGTGGGATTCCTGTTTGTATGATGCATGGTGGGAGGCAGAGCCCTGTTCCCACCAGGGGAAGCCTCGATAAGCAAGATTCTCCCTCTTCCTGCCCCAAGCAGTTCAGGTGCACGCACATGTCCTACCCTTGCAGGTAGTATGTTCCCATCTAGGACTCTGCATCTTGAGTGAGGGATGCAGAGAGGAGGGGACAGCTTAGAATTCCTTGAGATGGCAGAGGCGGCCTGCAGGAGCAAGGACGGAAGTACAGAGAGGCTGAGACATCCAGAAGCCATGGTGCCAGCAATGGCTTTCACACTAGACTGCCACTGGCAGTGTGTGCTGCTGTGACCTCCCTTTCCCCTTTGTTCTGCCCCCCCCCCCCTTTCTAATCCTGGTTCTCAAGCTTTCCTATTGACTTGGTGACTTATTTGGATGTTTTCAAGTTTCTTTCTGGTTAAATTAGCCAGCATTGGTTTCTGCCCCCCAGCCCTCAGACTGCTATAACAAGCAATGCCTGTAGAGGGAGCAAAACTGGGGCACTTTATGGGGCGTGGGAAATCGTGCCAGGATTTTTCTGTGTATGTGGACTGTCCAAAAGCTAAGCAGCAGATCAGACCTGGGCTGTTGCAATCAGTGGGAGGGGATGCATTCCTGCTGAGGACCCTGGTGGTTCGGAGGCAAGGAGCACAGTCCACTGGGGGTAAGTAGATGGCTGTTACACTCGGGTCTGGGCTGAAAGTTCTGTGTTGGGCTATGAGGTCCAGCCAGTTCTGAGGTTACATTACCTCTTTGGATGTGGAAGATGCCAGTGCTTGTAGGTGTGTTAAATCATGCACTGAAATAGACTGTCCTTGTTACTGAACGAAAATGGTGTTTGGCTGCCTGCTGTTGAACACAGGCATATTCCAAAGACAAAGGCTGGTGGGAAAGGAAGGAGGTCTTTATTAAAATGTTGCACCTTTTGGGGGGACAGGAGACTCCCAACTCCAGGCACCCCTCTTTTGAAAAACACAGGAAAAAAATTGTTCTCGAAAGGACTGGAACCCAAAACCACGCCCAGAAATCCTGCTCCACCCTCACCTGTTCTTCCGAGCACAAGGTTGCCAGGCAGACTGCTCTCCAGCTTCAGGTTCCCTGGAGTTGGGAACTTGAACCTCTAGGAGCAGGCCCAGCGCTGCCGCTGCCGCTGCCGCTGCCGCTGCCGCTGCCGCTGCCGCTGCCGCTGCCGCTGCCGCTGCCGCTGCCGCTGCCTGGGGTGGGGTGCGGGGGTGCGGTGGGCGCTCTGTCTGCGGATCCCAGACAAAGAGAAGGGGTGAGTCTGTGCCCTCCCCCATTTAAATCCCCCCTCACCCCTGTGCAAGCTTCTGTGTGTTCCGGAAGGGTCCAGCTCCCCAGTCAGCCCTGTCCTTTTCCCAGGCTAGACTGGCAGGTCAGCGCCGCACTCTGCTGCCGTCTTCCAGAAGGGATAGGAGGGCTTCTCCTGTCAGTCATCCTCACTAGCCTCACGCAAGGCAGGGTCCCCTCTGGTCACCTCTCTGCCCGGAAGTCTGTCCTTATGCACAGCACTAGCAGCGGGGCTTCACCCCACCTATCTCAGGCGTTTCCTGTGACCCCTCTCTCACCCCAGGGCCTGGCCAGATCTGCCTGTATCATCCTCTCTAAGAAATAGTTCCTGGTTACTGATGAACTTCTGTTTTGTAATATTTTTAAAGGCTTTTGATGATTAATTTGTAAAAATTTCAAACCCATGACTTACCTTTCTATCCTGGCCCTTCATTTGTGGTCTTAGTTCCCACGTTTCATGTCCCCTGTCACGTTTCTGTGTCCCTTCCCTTTA